GCTCATTCCGTCATGTGGATTCGATCTTACGACTGCTTGGTCTTCTGACCCTGCAGCACAGGCTTCTGCGCTTTAGCCCGCAGCGCCACCACGTCCCTTGGGTTGGGAAACACTTTTATAAAAGTGTCACTGTATTGCAGTTAATCATAGCCAATGATATTTTCTAATTTTCAATAATGAGAGAGGCTTATACTGAAAAGAGGTGCTTTCAGGATGGAAGGACTGTTCATATTGAAAATGAAAAGATGCAATTGCTTACGACAAACAACAATTCCTTGGTGTGAGAAAGGTGGCACAACAATCAGTGGTGTGGTTTTCAAATAAATCAGCATTGCACACTTCAGTGTGAGTGGACAGACATCATAAAGGAGAGGTCAGCCTGCCTTGCATACTTTGGAATGAAGCAAAATGGTCGTAGCTGGGTAGTTCATTGCAAAGATTCACAATGCCAATGTTTTTGGCTAGTTGTGGAGTCTTGAGAAGATGAAGATTTTGTGACAAATTTGTGCGTCCTTCGGGCCCTGTCCTTCTGCCCACTCTGAAATAATATCACAATTTGAGGAAGCTTCCTCAGGAAAATAAGAGCCAAATTTCAGTCTCTATTGATCATGCCTGGAGTTTTGTAGTTAACACTAGCAAACCTGGACAAAGGGTGTACAATTTAGAACTATTGTTCAATTATTTCGAAACACTGAAATTTGCCTTTGTCTCTTTCTGTGGGATCATTTGTTGACAGGTGTTGACCTACTGGATCAAATATGCATTCTGACGCTAACCAGCACAAACAGGTGTCAAGGGGATAATCCATGTCTGTTTACAGCAGAATCAAGGCTTGTGGTTGAAACCAAAGCTTTCCATTGTTTTTACAGTAACAGATTCATCAGAACTCATAGCTCAGTTCACTGTAGGTTGTTAGTGGAAAATCATTACTTGTTACAGGAATCACACTTTACTCGGCTCACTCTGTAAAGGGTTGAAGGTGCAGCTCTAGTATGCACATGGTATCGGAGGTGATGCCGTGTGCAGGAGAGAATGCTGGCTTGGGATTCATGAGACATGGGTTCAAATCCTGCCTTGGCCATGGAAACTCACTGGAGGGAGGCAATGGTAAAATCACTCCTTAAATATCTTAAAGGTCTCACACAGCATGTTGGAAGCCGCCTAGGGTGGTCGTTCAATTAGATAGGCGGGGTATAAATGCAATAAATTAAATAAATAAATAATCTTTGGTTGGAAGAGCCCAGACAGCACCTAACAATGTAAAGGTGACATTGAACTGAACATGGCTTCCTTCCCATTACACCTGAATAGAACGACAGTTCTTAGAACAGCTTCTCAGTCATATTTCCAGGGGAAAATCTTCCAGTCCACTTTCCCTTGACTTATTTTTTTTGACAATACACCGACTCTTTACCCGCTCCCTTCTGGGTTTATAGTGCAATTCTCTGACTCGAGAGGGGTAGCTGTTCAATCCCTCCATAGGAGGTGGCGAGGCAATTCCGTATATAGAAGAGAATGAGACGCCGGAGGAGGGGGAGAGCGAAAGTGATAATAAACGAGAAATAAGGCACGTCACAAAAACACCTATTTAAAAAAAAACCCAATTTTCGGAAGGTGCGACCCTGTAACCCGTCCGCTCTTGGGGAAACATCGCTCCCCGTTTCTTTGTTCCGGCCACAAAGTTACCCCCCCTTTTTTGTGTTGGTTTTCTGTCACCGAGGTTTGCACGCTGGGCTGTGGGGAAACACAGTTGGGAGAGGGAAACGTAACCTATTCCCCCCACTCGGAGGCTGTTAGAGCTTTCCTTGGGGAAAGCACTTCCGGTGGGGAAGAAAATAAGCGTTGCACCTCCTGGGCTGGAATGGAGGAGCTGCAGCAGCGCCACGTCTCGGGCAGGAGGGAGGGAAGGAGGTGCTCCAGGCAGGCAGGTCAGTGGGGAGGGAAGGGGTGTCCCCCGGGGGGGTGGTGGTATTTCCTCCTCGTGGTGAAGGTGGGGGGTCTGCTTGGCTGGAAGGATCCAGCCAAGGGAAGGGCAAGGGGTGCCCCAGGTGGGGGGAACTGGATTTTGTTTTGCTTTGGAGCAGCAAGCAGGGCGATCGGATGATTGGGGAAGGGTTAGGGGTGGCTGCCTGCCTGCCTCTTTCTCCAGGTCTGGCTGAAGAGGGAAGCAAAAGGAATACAGCAACGCTGACTATTATGCATGCAAGGACATCCTTTCGTTTAGGGATCCAAGGATTTTAAAAGACTCCTGCATCCTTGTTGCAGGCACGTCTGAAGGTACCCTGATGTGTTGTGATTTGCATTCTCTCCCCCCCCCCAGCCCGCTTTAATTGTTGCATGACTTTATTGGGAGGAAGGTGGGACGTGCATGAAGGAGACGAATAGGTTCGTGGGCAAAAAATAAAAATCAGTAACAGTCTGTACGATCCGGTATGGCTTAAAGAAATCTTGGGGTTTTTGTTCACAAACCCATAAAGTGCATGGGGTGTGAGAGGGTGGAGAGAGGAGAATAGACGAGATGTTCCCCTGGGTGAAAAGAGAAGATGGACATTTAGGTGACGAGGATCTTGTTTGTGACCTTTGGAGGAAGCTTGGCTGAGCTGGGATGGTATGGACAGTCCCACCCCCTTTTTTTTTCATTTCGTAGCCTTGTGACTTGAATGGAGGCGATGCCAACCAAGTGTTAATCTGACACATTAATCTACTAGGCTACTGTAATTTGGACAGAGTTAATAGGAAGGAAATGATTTCGGCAGAGATTGGGGCCAGACCAGAATGTGCAGTTGTGGGTGTGTATATATATTTCCAAAAATTCAGACTGTCTTTCAGACTGTCTCTACCCCACATTCAGGGATCTCTCTCTCTCTCTCTCTCTGAATGTGGGGTAGAGACAGTCTGAATTTTTGGAAATCTATGCCCATGTGTGTGTGTGTTTATATATAAAATTCTATATACACAAAATGAATCCAGTCTTTTTCCTGTGAAGGTCAAGAATCTGGATAAAAGTGGTTTACTATTTTTCCCCTCCTTGGCCTTTATATTCCTGCTCTCTGCTAAAGATTAACATTTCCGACAGTCCTAATCTTTGAAATACATGTAGGAAAGTTACAGGCTTTTGTGATCAGATGATTCTAGGGGCTAAGAGCTGTGCATGGTGATTTGAAGTGGTGTTTCTGTGTCCATGTAAAATCTGCCTGGGTTTTGCTTGGCTTTCTTGGATATTTTCATTAGCAGACAAATAAATCAATAAGTTATTGTCACTTAGAAAGCAGGGTTACTGACCATCCTTCTTGACCCTTTATTGTTGGCTTAGTACAGAAGAGATCATCGCCTTCCTACTGTTTATGTCCTTAATTAACAGGAGGTTAAGGGGGTGAAAAGATGGTCCCCCAGATGTGGTGGCATTGGAACACATGTCAGTCCTAGAATAAGCAATGGTGATGGCAATTAATGGGAGTCGTCGTCCATAAACATCTGGCGGCTTATGCCTTCCTGCATCCCTGTCACATCAGGCAGGGTGTACAGATGTTGGTTCAAGAGACTCTGGGTTTCCTTTAAAGCTTTTCATGCCTTCTTGTGAATGAACCGGATTAATAAAGGCGGTTGCGTATCTGTTGGAAACAGCTTGCCTGTTGCTACTGATCATCTTTTGAAACTGTGCAGTTGCAAAAGAGATGGAAGGATTTGGGGATCACAATTCACAGTTAGGTAAACATGACAGCAGGGGTGCCTAGCATACAACGAGTGTGTAGTCTAATTAGGTGTGTCTGATTAGTGCAATAGATGTGTCTATTTCTAGTCCATTTCATTTCCACGTGTATGCATTTATGGGTTGGTTTCATCTGCTTTTTGCATTAATTTGCTTATTGCTTTTTCAAAGGCGTGTTGAAAATCTTATTCCATTGTGTGTTTAAACAACATTTGTGAAACAGATACTTACTTTTCACTCTGCCCGGATCACCCCCCTTTCGGTTTCACTGAATGAACGTGGTCTGCAGTACTAGATAACACGAATAACAGTGGGTGGCTATTTCCCCTTCTTTAAGCGAACTTAAGAAAATGCTTTTATAAAGTGAAATCTGCCTTCCTGTTTCCAATTTTAAAAAGCCGGTACTGGCTGACAAGGAGCCTTCCTTCAGCCCACCGGTTCTTGTTCTGATCCGTTGTTTACTCATCTGCAATAGGATATATGGCATTGCCAAGATACACTGCTCTAGTAAACAAGTGCATGGTCCTTTAAATGGAACAGGCAGTGGATAAAATAGTCTCGCTTGTCAACTGGAACGGTAAAAATAAAGGGTCAAATGAGCTATTTCTTTGAGCCCCACCACTGTTTTCAAGGTCAATTATATTGGAAGTGGAGAAATGTGCAACCACACACACACACACCTCTCTACACTTTCAGGAGGCAGTATAGGTAGATAAGAACTGGATAGGTTTCTCTGGTATATTTCCTCTTGTCTGATTGAGTGATTGATTGATTGATTGCTTCCTTGTCTATAGGCTAGCAGTCTCAGATCTAACTTTGTTTCCATTGGCCCTTGGTCCTCCCATAATTACTCTTCCTTTTCCTCCCCTTCTGCCTTCTCTCCCTTGCTGTCTTAGTCGTGTAGTCATAGGCAGAAAACACTATCCTGCTCCATGTATCAGGTGCACAACTTCCTTAGTGACTACTTTTCTATCACTTAAAATGGCCTTTAATACTAATTCTGAGCAGTTAGCTTATGTTGAAAATAAACAATGCAGTCAGTTCGCCCTTAGAAGCAGAATACCTTTAAGAGCTAAAAGATGTCTCTTTACCTTACCATGAACTTTCCCTGCTCAGTATATTCCAAGTCAAATTGTTTTTGTTTGTGATTGATTGTTGGGTTTCATTTGCAAGTCCATTGGCTCAAGCATTGAGCTGTGAAGGAACAGCATATTTAGAAGCAGCAGGAAATACATAATGTTTTTTTAACGTGGAATTTGACCCTAAGCCAATAAATGCCCCCCAATCCGGCATGTTGAGCATGAATGCCTACAAGATAGGTATCACTTTGCAAAAAGTCACACTCAATATCTTGATGTTGGAGGAAAAGATGTGGAGCATTCATTGTCGGATGCTTGATCAGGACGTTTGGCTTGCACGTCACTCTCCATGTACTAGTCCTGTGGAAATATATGCAAAAGTGTTTCTGTTTGCCCCCTCCCTCCGGTTCCCTTCCTTCACTTACACAAAGAAACACATCAGTTCATTTCCCTAGCATGACAGTAGGATATGTCTGTCACTTCCAAAATTGTATCAGCTGATACTAAAAAATATATTTCTTCATACACTTCCCTATCATGAGCTCCCTTTAAGGAAACATCAAGCAATTTGCCAAAAAAAGAGGCATGAGCTGCCACCAGCCATTAAGCAGGACTGGGACAAGTTACATTTTGGACTACAGTTCCTCAAATGACCTAGCTCAAGTGGCTATAGACAAACTTGCTGGGGTTATTGTCATTGTCAAAAAAAAAAAGGTAATGTTTCCAAGATAAGGTCATTTGGATCAATGTATGGGCACTTATGGAATGGAAAAGCTGTTCAGGTAATGAAGCTGAATTTGGTTGTTCCAATGTGCTAACTGCACCTGGTGCCCAGATTTCATGAATCAGTTCTCTCTTATATTTTATTTTAAAGAAGGAACACCATTTTACTTATCAATGTGAGCATATCTGTACACTTGAAATCAATACAAGGACAATAACCATGGAACCATGGAACTGTCAGAGTGCCTTCTTCCACCTAGTTCTAACTGTGTCACTCATTCTAGCCAGGCTGGGCAGCTGGGGGGGCTTAACTCCAAGAGAAACCTGGAAAGAAAAAACTAGAAACCAGGCCTTCTTAGCGGTGGCCCCTCACCTTTGGAACATCCTCCCCTCTGAGATCCTCCTGGCTCCCTCGCTGGAAGTTTTTAAGAATAAACTGAAGACCAGGCTCTTCAGGCAGGCCTTCCCTCCTGCCATTACTTAATTTATTCCCCTGGTTTTTCCATCTTGGATTATGTTTTCTTGTTTTAGGTTTTTTTATTGATGTTTTTAATTTATTGTTTTTTGGACTGTAAACCACCCTGAGTAG